TTACCTGCGTGTGCCACTACACCCTTTTCCGTATTAAACGTCATCTGCCGCAATTAAGGGGCAGCATGTGAGGGAAGCAGGCAAGGATAAGTAACATGGCTGCCCAAGCATTAAGGAACGTAACCGGCTGCTTTTGCAGTGGCCTGTGGAACCGTTGTCAGTTGTTGTCATGCTAATTGGTTTCGCACGTCCAGTGTTTAATGTTGATCAAAATCTGTCTTTAACGGAGTCTCTGTTTTAAAATGCACCTCCCTGCAATTTCCTCCTCCTGTTCAATTTAACACCAGTAGCCTTAGTACAGCATGCGTACAGGCGCACAATACCAGGCACAAACCAGAGCAGTGTGCAAAAACACGGCCGGTCTTGGTTGCCCAGCCTCATGTGCCTACATCAGGCCCTGTCTGAAGCACAAGGCCTCATTTGAAAGCGAAGCCTGTGAGGTGGTGGGAAGCCTGATTTTGTGGGGAGGGGGAGGGAGGATAAGGGGTGACGGCTCTCATTTTATAACCCAGAGGCTCTGCTTGTTCGGGAGCAGCCACCAAACCGGCTGTGAAAAGCCACCTGCCCAGGGACGGGAACAGGAACAGGGACCGTGTCGGAGCAGAATGGAAAAGACGAGCGCGGAAACGGAGAAGCTGCAGCTACTCCCTGAGAAATGTGTGTCGGGGCGTGAGCCGCCTGGCGGGCCTGCGGCGGGGCAGGGGCACAGCCTGATCGGGGCGTGGGCCGGGAGCTGTGAGTGACCTTTGGCCTGACGAGCTGCAGATGTGCGCCCGGTGTTCTGGGTTCAGCCTGGCTGAGGGTGACGGATAGTGGCTGGGAGTGTTTTTGGCATCATAGAGCACTTAGTGGAAGGGGATACGTGTGTGTTGATCTTCCTCTATTAGAAAGATGCTGGTTTTAGGTTTGCACCACACCCATCTCCTGCCCCTCCGAGGCACTTGGAGCTCGGCACCAGGGCGAGCTCTGTGTGTTTTGCTTGCGGTAGGCATGGTTGGGTCAGCAGTGATCATCTGGACTGCTCGTTGGTTTGCCAGAGAGCCAGGCGTTATTTTAGCTCCAGCTCAACTTTCTAACATGCTATTATAGCAGCATCTTTACTAGAAAAGTAGTTATAGTCTGCTAGCAGAAACTGTTGTGCATGGAATGTTTTTTTTGTTACATCTGTCCTTCTGAAATAATTCATGCATCTTCAAGCATTTTTTTTATCCCAAAATTCATGAGGCTTTCAGACATCAGCTGTGCTCAACGGTCCTGAGATTTGCAGGTCTCGGATCGAAGTGTCTTTTGCCAGCTGTGAACACTGTGGAAGCTGGGTGGGTTTCCTTGACATCACACACAACCACGGCCTTTATCTTTAGCTCAGTGTGCGTTCTGCAGCGTGGTGCCTGACGATCTGTGAATTGCACGCTGGCACAGGCTGTTTGGCGTGCCGCTACAGTCAGTAGCGCTGCAGTCACGCTGTCATACCCCAGCGGTGTCACCTCGTGCCCCCTGCCTCAGTGGTGTGTCCGTGTTCCAGCCTTTACACACAGGCACGCTGGAGCCCAAGACCTCATTATAATAGAGTTAAAGGAGAAAAGGGGCATCAGTGTAGCACCACTTTGACAGTGCGTTTTCACGGATCTGCGTTTCAATAGTCCCTCAAACTGTTTAAACTAGTCTATTCTCCCATCATCTTTTCTTTCCATCGCTCTCTCATTCCCCCCTTTCGGGGCCTCAGTCCTTTCTTCACCCTGCTCCTCAGATCTCTCTCGCTCTGTCCCCTCTGCTGCCCCTGCCTTTTCACTCTCGTCACCCTTGCCCTTGACATTTACCCTTCCACCTTCTCACTCTCCTGCTCTCCTTTTGCCCCCCATCACCCTACTCCCCCCGCTACCACGTCCTCTGTTTCTCTCCCTCTCCCTCTCCCTGTCTCTGTGTCCCATCACCTTCTCCCTCTCCCTGTCTCTGTGTGTCCCATCACCTTCTCCCTCTCCATGTCTCTGTGTGTCCCATCACCTTCTCTCTCTGCCCGTCCCCGTGTGTCCCATCACCTTCTTCCTCTCCCTGTCTCTGCCTGTCCCCGTGTGTCCCATCACCTTCTCCCTCTTCCTGTCTCTCCCTGTCCCTGCGTGTCCCATCATCTTCTCCCTCTGCCTGTCTCTGTGTGTCCCATCATCTTCTCCCTCTCCCTGTCTCAGCCTGTCTTGCTCTTGCCTCTCTGCCTATTTCTCCCTCTGTCTTGAGTGCTTCACTCTGCTGCTTTTCTGCCTCTCCTATCAGTCTTCCTCAGCTTGTGGAGGGGATTTTGCTTAATAATAATAATAATAATAATAATAATAATAATAATTGCTTACACTTACATAGCACTTTTCTGGACACTCCACTCAAAGCGCTTTAATATTTTTAGTCTTTGTAAAGGGGGTTTAAGGGTTCAGAGACCCTGCTCTCCCTCTCCGTCAGTGCTCAGTGCAGATAAGGACACTTCCTGCCCGGGTCTGTTGTGTCTACTGGGCGACTGGCAGTTCCCTTTGTCCCTCTCCGTTTCTGTACTGCAGAGCTGTCCAGTCTCTCGCTCACCCTTCTCCCCTGTTCTCAATGCCTCGCTTTCTCTCCCTGTCTCTTCTGCTCCGTGTCACCTAACCCCCTCACCTCCCCCAGTCTCCGATTCTTCAAACCTGTTTCCCACTTCCTTCACCAATGGACAGATGTTTTGCAAAACAAAAAAAAATTGGGAAAGAGGGAGAGTGAAGAGGAAAGAGCCAGATCCCGAGTCCGAGAAGGGGAATGTTCAGCTCGTTGTCCGTCTGTGTTTGCGTTCATGTGCGCGTGAGTGTGTCTGTGAATGGACACTTGCGTCTGTTGTTGGTCTTTGCTGAGTGGGGGACGTGCGTGCTGTTTCTTGCCCCAGTGAAAGCGGATGAGAGAATGGCGATCTGTGCCGTCTGCCAGCCTGCTACTTTGTTTTTACAAACTGCTAAAACAGACCCAGTCGGGACTCGAATTGCATTCTGTCTGCTCTGTGAGCTCTGTCCTTGCACCCTGCACGGTGAAAGATCACGCCTGTCTCAATGTTAGAAATGTGCACAGTGTGTGGGAATGATTGGCTCACACTTGATAAAAAAATCACTTTAAACCACACTGCATTCACTATACTGTTTTGGGGAACAAAATTACAAAAATCCCTAAGTAATCATTTACGCTAGCTTGGGGAGATATTCATTTAGCCAGAATCATTTTTACAAAATTAAACGGCTTATGGCTTAATGGCAATCACAAAGTAATATCTAGAACATTTTCTCTGACATTGTGCAAGTTGTTGTTTTCTGTGCAAGCTAGGCAAGATCATTTGAAGGAATCTGATTTTCCCCAAGTCAGAAAAGGTTTGATTTTTTTTTCTTTTCCTCAAAGTTTTTTCCCAAAAGGATGTTTATTGAACCTGTTGCACAGCTGTCAAAAGGTGAAGAAATGAGATACTGGCCCTCACTGACGTCTTGATAGAGATGTCATGGGCAAAGCTTTGTTTGATGTGGTTCTGTGGGATGGGTCCTGGTTTTTTGGAATTCAGGAATGCAAGTCAGTTTTTTTATGAAAATGATCTGTTTATGCCGTTACCTCGTAAGCGTCACCAAAATGCTCCAAGGCTCTGATGAAATTGACACAGTGGATTTCTTCAAAATGCACAGAGAACCAGAGGGCCATGGGTGTGGAAACAGAGAACAGGAGGCGCTTCTTTACACTAAGGGTTGTGGGAGTGTGGAACAAGCTAATCGATGCCCTGGCTGGATGAGAATACTGGATCAATTAACGACTAACTATCAAACATGCCGGGTTGGTGGAAAGGCATCCTTTTGTTTGTAACCTTTCTGACATTCTTATTTTCTCAAGCGAAGCGAAGAACTGACCTTAACCAGAAACGATCAATCTGGACTCAGCGTAGACTGTGTGGTCACACGTAGCACTTCGTTTGTTAAGAGTAGTACATTCAATAAACATATCTCAGGAGTCCCTGACTCACTTTTGGTAGGTTGCCAGACAGGGGGTAAGTAATGAGTTTTATTTAAGCTTTACTGTAAGGGTAACAGTTAACCCCTGGAGCACCTCATGCTTGCCAGGATAATCTGTTGTGTGTGTGTGTTTTCTGTCAGTTTGCCATTTTTAAACCTGAAAAGGGGAAATTGCATGTTTACAGGGTTTTTTAGAATGAGAAAAGGGGAATTTTGGTACCAGGCCTGGAAAGGTGACTGACTTTATTTTGAATAGTCGGACATATGGATCTAGGGGTTATAAGATGAAACTAAGAGAGGTTTAAAAAGCAAACGGAGGTTATCTGGTCATCACTGTATGGTACAGCCATATCGCAGCATGTGACACAAATGCTCTGCAAAGGCTTGTGGCAACGGCGCAGACGATTATAGGATGTGATTTACCATTAATTGATGAGATTGACATTATCCGCTGTCACAATAAAGCCCAAGCCAGCCTGTTCTGCCTGCGCTCTGGCAGGCTGTACCGCACTAGGCTTAAGGACAGTGTCCCCCCCTACGCCAGTGCGCATCAGCTCACTGTACCATGCCCCAGATGTCAGTGCACCTCTGCACCACACACCTCTGACTTGGATTACCATGTGTTCAGTGTTCTCTTCCATGAATTGGATCATGTACCGTTCTGTAATGTACGGTCTAGATTGTGTCGTACCGTGTCTTGTCAGCTGTCCTGTGCACGGCCTGAGAGAATTCCAGTGTTCCTGTGCCCTCTGCTCTTATTCTGTCAAGCTAGACCATTTGTTTGCTATGATCGGTGATGTTGAACGCAGAACTGAAAGACGTGTTGAGCTGGAGAGTGTTTCTGGAGGGAGCTGGCGAAGGCTGGGTGGTCCTGAGCACGCTGTAGGTGCACATCTGTGCTGCCAGCCCATGTCCAGGTGCCCCCCCTGAGACCCGGACAGCCCGGCGAGGAGAGCATCTTCCTCTAACCAGCCAGTTCTTTGTATTTATTCCCTCACTTTCTTTTCCCAGATGAGAAGCCTCCAGTGGAGGAGAAGTGCATCCTGTGCCAGCACCCGGACTGCGCAGAGCGACGCCGGGCCACCAAGGTAAAGGGGTCAGGGGTCAGGGGCCAGAGGTCAAAGGTCAGCTTGACGCTGTGGCAAGGGCAGGGGGCTACCCTGACACTGAGTCCCCAGTCTGAACAACAGTTGGGCAGGATCAACCACTTTTATTCTCGGGACAGAGCACAGTCTGTGAGCAACCGAAGAAAACACAGTTTATTTTGCTGTGACATAACTGTTCTTAAATAGAAATTAATCAAATTTACCTTACTTCAATTTAGTCTGCAAGAGTGTACATTTGAAAACTATCCATTGGCTGTGGTGAAGATTTTTTTTTTCTGCGCAGTACTGCCAAACAGTGGAAAATGAGAGAGACTTTTTTTTCCAGTTAAAAAAAAAAATGTAAAAAATGAAGCCGACTGTCTGGCCATGGGGCCTGTGAAATGAATTATTATTTTATTGCCTTTGGTTCTAAAATGAGAACAGCCAGATTAGTTCAAGACGAAAGCAACCTCACTGTACTTTGTCCCTCTGTCTTAGCAGGAATTTTTTTATTGTTATTTTTCTTACTGCTCTTTGAAAAAGCTTAAGTGTTCCATCCCTGTGTGTCTGCGTAGAATCAGCCAAAGAGGGAGTGAGAGAGAAGGGGGGAGAAAATGCAGATGTAAGTAAAATAGTGTGTGAGGTTGCTGACAAGCACAGAATACAGAAATACTGCCTGGTGAAGGGCTTTGATTTTCTTCAAACGCCCATCCGGCTGGGCATTTGATTTAAGAATATGCTACCCAACTTTGCCACAATTAAAAATAGCAATCATGGCATGAGCTTATGTGCGGGGCGCAACACGGAGCATAAGGCAGAGCAGGCTTAAACACCACAGGATCAGGAGACCTCCTGGGAAGAACTAAGGTTGCTGCTGGAAGAGGTGTTAGTGGGGCCAGCAGGGGGCGCTCACCCTGTGGTCTGTGTGGGTCCTAATGCCCCAGTATAGTGACGGGGACACTATACTGTAAACAAGCACCGTCTTTCAGATGAGACGTAAAACCGAGGTCCTGACTCTCTGTGGTCATTAAAAATCCCAGGGTGTTTCTCGAAAAGAGTAGGGGTGTAACCCCGGCATCCTGGCCAAATTTCCCATTGGCCCTTACCAATCATGGCCTCCTAATAATCCCCATCTATGAATTGGCTTCATTTTTCTGCTCTCCTCCCCACTGAGAGCTGATGTGTGGTGAGTGTTCTGGCGCACTATGGCTGCCGTCGCATCATCCAGGTGGGGCTGCACACTGGTGGTGGTGGAGAATATCCCCAATAACCTGTAAAGGGCTTTAAGTGGAGTGTCCAGAAAAGCGCTATATAAGTGTAAGCAATTATTATTATTATTATTATTATTACCTGTGCCTCAAGGTTTGGTGGCAGACGCTGGAGTGGGTGGCTATTTCTTTCGTGGACACAGAATTCTTGAAGGGTGGGGAGATGGACTCTGTGTTTTGCCTGACATTTTTGCTCGCTCTGTTTATGTGGTGACCTTATGGGATTCCTTCCGATGCATTCTCATTTTTTTCTTGCTTTCCCAACATGTGCAGATGTGATTGGGCGACTGTAAGCTTGGTTAGAAAGACTGTGATTTCTCATTAGCCGAGAAGGATGTGTAAGTGCTCCTTTACTCCATAGACTGTGAGGTCTGGTGGGCAGTTTTTACCGAGTTGGCTGGTTTTATGATGTATAGAATTTCACACGCTCTTCTTTTATCTTGGAGTAATAATGATGCGAATGAATGAATCAAGAACAGTGTGGAAGAATATTTGCTGAAATGCTTGGTGTTAAGAAAGGGAATAACAAGATATCATCCCGTGCCCCTGTATTGGATAAGGTGCTTAGAAAATGGATGGATCATGTATTTGGCGATCTGAGGACATTTGAGTCCATTCTTAGATGGTCATTAGGGGCTATTAGGCAAAGATTTTTTTTTTCATTAATTCAATATTCCAGCATCGTCCGAAATCACGCGGTGTTTTAATCATCTGTACTTGCAATACTTGTGATACTTAAGCATGAAAGGCTGGTGATATAAAACAAATCCTGTCAACGGGATATGAAATTGATCCAGATTCTGAAAGAAAAGCAGATGTTTAGCCTAGTATAAACATCTGAAGAACTGAGTATTGAGTACATTTTGTCTGATAGGGAGCCAGTTGGGATTTGCCAGGTTTTCGAGACGGGTTTCAGGCAGCAGTGCCCCTTGCTATGGGCGCGAGGTGGACAGACAGCCCCTCGTGCCCACAGACTTGAACCGCTCAGGTCTGGCAAGTGCGTCTCAGTTTAAGACCTAGTGAAACAGGTGATCTGACTCCTTGTTTCGAACAATTAGGCCATTAAAAGACTAGAAGAGGAACGGAAATGAAAACGACATCGGCTCTTCCCTGGGACAGGTTATCGGGACGTGTGCGTTCTCCGAAATGCATATTGCCAGGCCTGTTGAGCTAATGTCCCTGCCCAGCCGGCACCCAGACCAGCAGTCCTTCCTCCTGCTTCTCTTCCAGGCCATAGGCAAGTATTTTGGAGCTCAAACAAGTTCTTGTTTCTTGTGCATAAATATCAGGCGGCAATACATTTCCCTATATTTCCCAAATATATTGGGGCTACATATTTGGCGCGGCTGTTCCTGTGCTGAGGCCTGCAACTCTCGGCCGCCTCTTGATTTCAGTCTCTCTTGTAGAAGCTGTTTAGAAACTGAAGTGAAATCCTGAGCTGAGTGAGATCAGAATAAAATATTAGCAGCAGGCCTGGAATGTGAGGCATACTTTCGCAGCTGTTAGGCTTGGGCTGCAGTGCACCTTCTCCCAGTCTGCGTGCCTGGCTGTGCAGAGCTTGCTGACCTCGGTCTTCCTGAAGCCCGTCTGCCACTCTCTGCCCTCTTGAGGTCAGGAGGGGGCTATCATGTAAGGATCTTACAATGAGGGTGGGATGGGAGAGGGCCGAAGGGGGAAAGGGGGCTGTTTTTAATTGAGTGCAGACTCTCTCTCTCTCCATCGCTCTCTGTCTGTGCGTATTCGCCCCGTCGGAGGATCTTATGTAACATTCCTGGCAGTGCGATCAGGAGATGAGAGAGATCGGCACCCTGTACCCGCCCGCCGGTCAGTTATTGCCTTTCCTGAAGCTGGGAGACGGCATGTTCTCCTCTCGCACACGTACCTCCCGGGAAAGGTGCCAGGTCCCACCTTGCTTCGGGCGCCCTCCCTGAACCAGGACTAGCCCACGTGAAAGGCCTGAACTGGACCTCCCAGCTTCTTTTGTAAAAGGAGCTGTTGGTCCTATTTTCCAGAAAGCCCTCGCCCCTGGAAATTAACAAATGCAGGTGTCCTGCTTTCTTCTTTTGGGGCAATAAAACGGTACCATACCAGCCAGTTGTGAATTAAGGGCATATCATCGTATTGTTCAAGTGCCCCCTAACAGCTCTTTAATTAGTTCCATTGAGCAGGTTCAGGCTGGTGTTTCTCTCGTGTGTTTTGTCTTTGCCCTCAAAATCAGTTTCAGTTCGGTTTTCTCTGGATCTGGTGCTGCTTGTGCAGCGTGCTCTCTGACTGGGCAGCCCAGAGCAGTAGAGCCCGTAAGAGAAACCCTGCTGTCAGTTTTAATTGGCCCGGCTTGGTCTTCGTGTTGTAAGGGGGGGGGGGGTGAGACGCGCAGGAAATCTCAGACAGGAAATCCAGCCATCACCGCGTCTCTCTGTAAAAATAATTTTTTGCAAATGTGTGGATTTCTGAAGCTCCTCCTTTGAGGAGTGTTGTAACGACGTGTTTCGGTGAAACGCGCTGGGGGCAGGTTCCCATGACCTTGGCAACCTGTCGGCTTTTAGGGCTGTAGAACAAACAACTCCGCTGGCCTTGGCTTTCACTGGGGTGAACTGCAGTAATTGAAAAGCTCACACTCTTGAAAGGATGTGGTCAGACGTTCAGCATTTTAAAATATCGCCAATCGTCAGCTGAATGCCTACAGAAAAGAGATGTCAGTTGGATTGCAGGTTTTTTGCTCATGTTATAACAGCTGTCTGTGACGGCTATAGTTGTTTTTTTTACCGTACAATCTTATTTCAGAATGTCCTTGCAGATTGAGGCCTCTCAGGTCTTTGTATATTCGAAACGCTTGCTTCAAGTTTGGGTGTTCAGTGGGTTGTCTTCTTTCTTTTGGTGCTCTTGTCCTAAACACAGTGCTGCTGAGACGTCTGCAGTAGCAGGTACTGGCTGATGGTCACCAGCAGGGGCTGAGACGTCTGCAGTAGCAGGTACTGGCTGATGGTCACCAGCAGG